TTTTTTACGGTTTTAGATTTATCATTTTACACAACTAGCTAGTTTCTTACCGCTAGTTTTCAGCATTTAGTTGTTCTAGGTTGTTTCCAGTCCATGTACTAATTAGAAATAAGTATATCTTTCCAAATGAGCGTAAAAGCACAAGTGATGCAACATGTCTTTTAAATTTAAAAATGTTGTGTTATTTTTAAAAATGCTAATATCTTTATATTGTAGATTTGGGGGCGGTTGGTGGTTCAAGTCGGATTGTCTTGTATCTAATCTCAATGGAAAGTATTCTACTTCGTCGGGTGATCGACACCATATTTACTGGGAAACACTCCATGCTCCTATCAAATACGTAGAGATGAAAATCAAGACTTTTTCATCAGGTATTAATGAACTTTTTCTGATGTCAACGTTTTATCTGGGGAGATTCTTTTGCAATGAATTGTTTGTTTTTACTGTCAATGGATGACATGCGCGAGTAAACTTGAAAACACTAGGCTAGTGTTTTCAAGTTTATGACTCCAAGTTGGCGCGACATAAATCAGATCGTAAACCTAAACAGATCTAGAATATTCCAAAGTGTGTCAAAAGCACCACAAAATGATTTACCTCGAAGGTTATTCTTTCAAAGTCCGTTAGAGGTGAGACTGTTACTGCGCATGTCATCCATTGACAGTGTCCCTTTCAATCTCGTTCCAGAGCCCGCGTTCCTCTTGGCCTGAGGGCGCGAGCAACCACGAACTCTGGCCTAATCCATATTTTGCGCGCTTTTCATTGGTCGATAGAATTTCCTCATTACGAATGCGGACGTCTCCGGAAGTAAAATTTGACCAATCATAGTTGCGAAAAACAGCGACGAGGAGTCCTAGCCCCAATTAAGATGGGGCGGGCTCTGGAACGAGATTGTGTCCCTTTAAGTTCTGTGTGCTTATCACTAAAAACACAAWACGAAAATATAGTGGTTTTCCTTTCCTTATTGTGACTCTTAAACGTCTTTGCAACTTTTTCAAATTTCCAAATAGTGATAGTCTAGATAATGAATATTGAAAATATGTATTTCTTTCAAGTGACATACCCTAGCTTTAACTTCTTGAGAACAATGCACAATGACGACCAGAAAGGATTCAGAATCCAWTACAATGGAATAAGTCATCTTGTTACTGTAAGGTCATCGACAAAAAAATGGCAGCTTTCATTCCCCGCACCGTCACACATATGGTACCACGTGATGATCACGTGGAGTGAAGCTACTGGTATACTATATTATGCAAATGGCTTGCTAAAGGCAGCGAGTGTAAGTTTTGAAGTTGTTAAAAACACAGCTTCTGGAACTAATCTCAGACTCGGTGGCGCAGGTGACGGTCGAATTGAAAGTTATATATTTCGTCTTGGTGTCTGGAATCGTCAGTTAGAGCAGCATGCTGTGGAGAATGTATATCGATTCAGTAAGTATCATTATTAGGATTATCACCATTGCTATCATCATTACTACAACTAAAAATGTACACCAAATTTGCCTTATGTTAACATCTTAAAATACTGAAATCACAGCCATGCTTTCTTCTTCAGACAATTACTCCTTTGAGGTAGGAAGGATAAGGTGGCCTAATAAACCGTATAACAAAGCCTCTAAAAACCATCATTTGGACTGGAAACGCAATTCTGGGTGCACACCAAGCGTTGGGACTGGGCCTTGCACAGATCATTCTTTTAAAAACCCTCGAGGTAAGGGGATTTGTTGTTGTTATTATTTGAAAGTCAAAAAGCTTGATTTTAGTTTACATTGGTCTGTGTCTTTTCTGCTTCTTTTTGACGAAAATGAGTTTCAATCTTTGTAGTTTCACTTGGGATTTAACAGTGCAACCCATTACGAACATACAATGAGTTTATTATAAAGATATCAGGCATTGTAATTAAAAGCATCCATGTTGATCTTGCGTCATCCATGATTTTCTTTCCAGGGTCATATCTATATGCAGAGGCCTCCGCCCCAGGCGTGAAAGGAAACTACTCCATTATTCAGTCTCCTCTAATTCCTGGTGTATATCGATGCATACGTTTCTGGTTTCACATGCAAGGGACTGGCAATGCCGAACTTACTCTTAAAGATTACAAAACAAACGTATGGAAAGTGTTACAAAACAACAAACGAGGCTGGCAACATGGACAGGCATCTACAAGAACTCTCAACGCCTTCTATCAAAGAGTAATAAATCAGATTATATCAGCTGCAATCATGGACAAATAGACCTGTCAATCATCTCCACAATATGCAAAGAAAACGCAACTTTGAAATGGGTGGGGAGGGGGAAGGGGATGTCCCCCCGGGTGAAATGTCCATGTTTGTAGATTTGTTATTTAATGTTCATTCATTTCTTAGCATTTCGTGCATAATTAGTTGTGTGCATCGTTTGTCGTGAACCTATTTTAATTGCAGTGAATGAGTCCTGTATTTTCTATCTACCTTTATACTTGACTATGTTCACCGCAATTCTCAATTCTCAGTGTTTAAAGACCGTTTTGGACTTTTCCAGATATATTTTATCTCATCAATTAATGAAAACTTCGAGAGTGATATTGCTATTGATGACATCAGCTATGACGTCAGACCATGCACAAGCTTTTCATTGCATTCCCTGAACGGTAAGTCCTTCTAGAACATATTAATAATTTATGAGCTATTAGTCCAATTAGGCTTTAAATCCGATAAAATACTATGCTACATAGGCTCAGTCTCCAGCCGTCGGGATTTCGTGCGCCCGCGATACTCTCTCCCCTGACGGCTGGGCGCATGGGGTTCG